GCGATCCGTTGCCGGACACGGAAAAAGACAAAAGACAAAAGACAAAAAAAAAAAAAAAAACTATCTTATTGCTCAAAGAACATTTTAAGAAAAATGACAAATTTTTAAAGAAGAAAGAGTCACTCATTTCCTGCCTTTCCAAAATATCAGCTACGCACAGGTTTCTGGGTCTATTCCCCTTAATCCCTTTTAAATTTTACATGGTTGTAATCATATTCTAAATACTATTCTTTGTACTTCAATAATTTTGATACTGGTGTAATATTTAAAATGGAATTTTTCAATCACATATATTCTTAGATTATCTAATAATGCCTATTCTGATTTCAAATCTGTATTCAATCTAATCCTTAACCCTTTCCTGCGTTCAAAGAAAATAAATCCATAAACCAATATATTTCACGTCTTAAGCACTTGTAAGAAAACCTGATATTTTTGGTCTCTCCTAGAATACAAATGGGCTATTACTAAACAAATAAGCTGCTTAGCTTTGAGAAAGTATTACTAAATTCTAGAGAGACAGTTTTTCTAACATAATAAGTAAGTAGCTTCAGAGAGGAGTACAATATTTTAAGAACCTCAATTTTTACTTTATAAAATTCTTTCTTACAAAACCAAAAGCTGAGGAAATAACAGTAATGTAAGATAATCCTTCAGTTTATGAAACTATTTACTGCAAGTTTCCATTTAATGGTAAGTTCCCTTGAGTGAATTTGAAATATATTATAAATATACTGCAGTGGGTTGAATTATGTCCCCCCAAAACTCACTGAAGCTTAAATTGTGTCCTCCAAATTTGATGTACTAGAAACTTAGCCCCCATTGTGATTGTTAAGAGGGTGGGAAATCCTACTATGGTAATTGAAAGATGAAGCCTTGAAGAGGTGATTGGATTGTAGGACCATGCCATAGTGAATGGATTAAAAATGGTGGTCAGGGGCGTGGTTCTGATGGCTTTAAAAGAAGAGTCTGTCTGTCTGTCTGTCTGTCTGTCTGTCTCTCTCTCTCTCTCTGTCTGCTCTCTCTGCTTCCACCATCTTGCAATGTGAGACCCCTGGGTCACTGTCACTGCCACCAGATGGACTTTGGACTTCCCAGCCTCAGAAACTGTAAGCAATAAATTTTTGTTTTTCTTTATAAATCACCCAGTTCCAGGTATTTTGTTATAGGCAACAGAAATGGACTAATACATGTACTAAAATTTAAAAACTTCAAAGTTTTCCAAGAGTGTGCCTGATAGAAAATGAACAGGACTCTGCTGAAATTTAGGATGTTGAAGCAACTAGAAATATAAATACAATGAATAGTGACTGTTAATGGAAGGCAAGAAAAAGATAAACATTAAAAGTTAATTGATGCACTGGCAAGAAAATGGCTTTCAGACAATTTCTAGGTGTTTAGGAAATATCTCAAGAATGCTTCAGGGAAATCTAAAAACACTTGTTGCAAGAAGAAAAAATGTATACATTTAAATGTGTCCTACCTTTTGTACTTCAATATCATCCTGTTCCTCAACTTTTATTTCTTCCTCAAGGATTATGTTAGACCCACTTTCTTGCTGTTTAGTCTCTTCTTGGTCCTCTTTGCTGATTGCTTCTTCTACATTCTTAACTTCATCTCTGACAAGCTCAGTGACTGTGGAAGTACGTTCTTCTTTTGGAACAGGTGTTAGAACAGGGTGCAGTGGGGAAACATGATCATAGTGAGTATGCAGGAGTCGTAGAGCAATGTCACTTGTTGCTAATATTCTTGGAATTTCAAATCCAATTTGTGTTCCAGAGAATCTGACACTTCTGTACCTGTTAATAATTAATGTTAACAGAAAGGATGAGACCCTAGGAAACTCTAGATCTGTTTCAGATTTATACTAAGCAGTATTTCTCTCTAATTTCACTCCAGTTTTGAGTTCCAGTCATACCTGCTCTCTTTGCAGCATTTGCACCTGGTTGCTGATGCGATCCTTCTCAAAACACTCTCCTGGGGGGCCGGCCCGGTGGCGCACTGCTACAGTGTGCTGCTTGGGAGCGCGGTGGCGCTCCCGCCGAGGGTTCGGGTCCCACATATGGACCGGTTCCCACTCACTGGCTGAGCGAGGTGCGGGCGCAGCGCCAAGGGTTGCGATCCCGTTGTCGGTCCCGGTCCGGTACGGGCGCA